TCTTTTTGGAAAGTTTGTATTATCATATGTATTAGACTGCATAATTAAATGAATAACATGGAGCCATAAATTTTAAAAAATATGCAATAAAACGTAAGTCGTATCCCCCCCCCCAAATAGAACACTTATCCTTACTTTTAAATTCAGCAATGTCCTTTTTTACTTTGAGACTCACCTAATTCAGTACAAGCGTGTAGGATTCCCAATGAGGAAAATAAAACAAGGATTGGGGAGTTGTAAAATAGGGTCCAAATAACATTTGTCCTATGATCGTCTAACCAACTCCATGTAATCCTTGATTTACGACCAGAATTGAGTCCAAAATTTCTGTTGCTAGGTGAGATATTATTTAAGTGAATTTTAAACCATTTTGTGACCTCTTTTGCCACAGTTGTTAAGTGAATCACCACGCTTGTTAAGTTAGTACAGGGTTCTGCAACCTGCAGCTCTGGAGCCACATGTGGCTCTTTCATCCCTCTGCTGTGGCTCCCTGTCACTCAAAATATGCGTCACAACTGCCAATGTGTGACACCCACCGGCATGTGATTTTTTTGAGTTTTTTGACCCATCTTTTTTTTTTTTTCGGAGTTCAAAATGTTTTTGTTGCATGCAGAAATAAAAAAAATTGTTTTCTCTGTAGCAGTTCATTGATTTCATAAATGCAACACATTATAGGTTTTTTTTTATACATAGCATAAAGGTAAAAAACGATATATACCTTCATTTTAGATGTCAAAAGGATTTTGTGGCTCCCGGTGTTTTCTTTTCTGTGGGAAAGCTCTGTGCATGTGCGGAAGAGGTGCGTGTGCTCCCATTCCCGAACCGGTAGCAAAGGTAAGTGGATTTCACCGTAGATATAAATTATATATATAAAAAAACAATCTTCAAGGATAGTCAATAGCAAAAAAAGATTTTAATGGTTTAAGCACAATGCCATTAAGTTGTGGTTAATCATAGCATGCCCTATCGTAGCCTAATGTCAGTTTAGTATATCTTTGCATTTATTTTGACAACTACTCCATCATTTCAGAGCAATGACATACTCCATTCATATCAGAATCCACTGGCAATATTTAATAAGTTGCCCAGCAACTGGCTTATGTGATTTCTCCCTGTTTGTCGTCTCTTTATAGCATATTAAGTTATTTCCCAGGGAGTTCAAAAGCTATGCTTATGTCATTGCGATCCCTTCATTTAAGGCTTGCTAGCAGCCATGATAACTTGAAATTGGTCAGTAATGAACCCCAGATGATAGACTCCGGCGCTCGTTCCTACTTTCCTACAGACAGCAACATATTTTTAATTCCACACAGGGCTTGCCTCCGCTTATCAGGGTGAGAAAAGGTTAATTTCCTAGCTTATGCACTTTCAACTGTTGGACTCGAAAAGCAGTAGGGCCAAACGGCAAAAGGGAACAGATATCTGTAGCTTTGCCCCAGGCACATCCTTAATAAAAGAGAGAAGTGTAATATTTCAGCGTAAGCAGAAGTTGCTGCTACTGCTAAACGGGAAACAAGGCTAAATATCTCGGGAAGAGGCAGCCAAGAAAAATATATGCCTTTATAACTCTTGAAGACCTTGGATGAATAACAGAAGTGGTTCAAGGGGCTGAAGACAGCAAACTGGCAGAAAACCTCCCAAAAACATTTCTCCCTGGGAAGAACATTCAGATGGTGCTTCAGTTTGACTTCTGGCAAAATGGATGGGCAAAATGTATGGGATGTGTAAAAACTCCAGAGAGAAATTGCACTAAACTGGAGAACTCCTTGGAGTTCTGCAGGGGTTCTGAAACTGATGGATTGCTAAAGCTATAAATCGCCAAGGTCGTTTAATTTTAATGGAATTTCAAAAAGCAGTTGTCAACATTACACAGGGAAAACCAATTCAAAGCAAACCCAGTGAAATAAACTCACACCTCCCCTGACCTGAAACAGTTTATATCACAAATGGAAGATGGGCTGTATGTTTCTTTTAGGGGAAAAAAAATAGAAAGAATTTTAAGTCTTTTTTTTAAAAAAACAGATTAACAGAGTTGGAAGGGACCTTATAGGTCATCTAGTCCAACCCTCTGCTCAAGCAGGAGACCCTATACCCGTGATGGTGAACCTATGGCATAGCCAAATCAGTGGGCACTCCAGCTCAGCTCGGGCATGCATGCCAGCTGATTTTTGGGCCTTCTGGGCCCACCAGAAGTAGGGAAACAGGAGGGCCTGGGGTGGGTGGGGAAGCCCCATTTTTCTTTCTCACCTGGATCCAGATCCTCTCTATGCATCTGGGGAGGGCGAAAACAGCCTTCCCCACCCCTCAGAGATCCTCCGGAGGCCCGAAATGGCCCGCATAGAATTATGGGTGTGGGCACATACGTGCGTGAACCTCCCCCACCCTTCCTGGCACGTGATGGCAAAAAGGTTAGCCATCACTGCCCTATACCATTTCTGACAAATGGCAGTCCAAACTTTTGTTGAAAGTCTCAAGTGTTGAAGCTCCCACAACTTCCGAAAGCAAGCTGTGTACCTTCATAGCATATCCTTTTACACACATACATACCCGAAAAATGGTGTAATTTATTCTGTATGTTTCTGGAGTAACAATCATTCCCTCCCTCCCTCCCTCCCTCCCTCCCTCCCTCCCTCCCTCCCTTCCTTCCTCTTTATGACAACAAAAGATAAACAAAGAGCAACACATCAAGTTGAAAACTTCAATTTGAAGGTCAATTGGATTGAATTTCCCAATTAATTCAGAAAATCAAAATGAATTAAAAGAACCTGACTCAGCTAAATATTTAAAATCTATTTGAATGATTAAACCAGATTAAACCCAAACAGTGATGCGAATTGGATTTCATTTGATCCAAATATCTGGTGAAAACTAGAATTTCAGGGATTTGGCAAGATTTCTGTAACAAGGAATGGTTTGTTTGCATTTACTTGCAAGGAATTTCTTAATCAAAGGAGTAATGTGTAGTGCTCCTTGATGACATCCTAAAATAGAACTCTCTATCCCCACTCACAAACAATGTTTATGTTCTGTTTGTGTGCATATATAAAGTGATTTTCAAGGGTCCACTGAAGTTCAAACCAAAGCTAACCCCTAATAAGTCACCTTATAACCTAAATAAGTATTTGTTATAAAATGGAAGATTGAGCTACATCTTATTAGATATTTGCCTAGCCTGTGGATCTTACTTTCCCAAATTTGTTTCCACATTCCATTACACTTAGTGACAACATAGCTATGTATTTGTGTGAGTGTTAATGGATGGATGGATAGATAGATAGATAGATAGATAGATAGATAGATAGATAGATAGATAGATAGATAGACAGACAGACAGACAGACAGACAGACAGACAGACAGACAGACAGACAGACAGACATACTATAGATAGATATAGATCAGAGGTGGGTGTCACATATTGTAACAACTGGTTCGCCCAGAACCAAAAATGTGAGTGTGCACACCTTCCACACATGTGTGCAGCATCAAGAAACTGGCGATTATATAGGATGTGATAGTGCCAGGGCAAGTGGTCGGAACTACCAGTTCACCTGAACCAGTCAGAACTGGCAGCAGCCCACCACTGATAGATAGATAGATATTGAGATAGATAGAGATAGAGATAGAGATAGAGAGAGAGAGAGAGAGAGAGAGAGAGAGAGAGAGAGAGAGAGAGAGAGAGAGAGAGAGAGAGAGAGAGAGAGAGAGAGAGAGAGAGAGAGAGAGAGAGAGAGAGAGAGAGACCATGTTTCTCCAAAAAGAAGGCCAGGTCTTATTTTCTTTTGAACCCCCACCCCCCCAAAATGGCTTAATTTGCCATTAATGTGCTAAAAACATGATAGGGCTTGTTTTCAAGGTGGCTCGTCTTTTTGGAGAAACATGGTAGATATAGATATACTGTTTTTTTTTTTTGAAGTATAAGACACACCTTTTTCCCCGCTAAAAGGGGGTGAAAATTTAGGTGCGTCTTATACAACGAATGTAGTCCCGCCCACCCACTGACCTCCACCCTTTGGCCTCTGCCTCGCAGCAGTTACCTCCTTGTAAGCAAACAGCAAGAAAAAAACATCTCCTTTCAGCTTCAGCACAGCCTAATTAGCACAAGTTGATTGGATCCGCCTCCTGACTCTCAGCTGTTTTGCTCTCAGCTGTTTTGCGCCAGCCTCTGCTTCTTGCTGCAAAGAGGTAAATTGCTGGAGCAGATTTTTTTTTCCTTGTGCTAATCAAGCTATGCTGAAAACGAAAATGAAAGTAAAGCAGGCTGTTTGCTGTTTGCTGCAACGAGGCAAAATTGCTCAGAGGCAGAGGGAGATTTCTTTTTTCTTCTTTTCCTCACCAAAAAAGGTAGGTGCGTCTTATAGTCCAGTGCATCTTATACTCCGAAAAATATGGTAGATGATATAGAGATAGATAGAGATAGAGATAGAGATAGAGATAGAGATAGAGATAGAGATGATAGAGATAGAGAGACATAGACATAGACATAGACATAGACATAGATATAGACATAGACATAGACATAGACATAGACATAGACATAGACATAGATATAGACATAGACATAGACATAGACATAGACATAGACATAGACATAGACATAGATATAGACATAGACATAGACATAGACATAGACATAGACATAGACATAGACATAGACATAGACATAGACACACTAGAAATCTGGAACGATAGAGATCCGATACTGCAGAAGAGAGCCTAAGTTGTGTCTGGTAACTTTCTGAGTTTAAATAAGTAGGACAGCAATCCATGACATTTTCTGCCATATTTATCATCACCGTCTTGACATCCTAGGTAAAAGGATCTTCTTGACCCACCATGGTGGAGAATCATTGTAATTTAAACTATATTTCAAAAGCTTACTCTGTGAACCATAGGTTATTTTGAGATTTAAGAATAATATTTTCCACCGAGTTCTATTTTGATGTGGCATTTTGCATATGAATCTTGGCACCTGCTGAAGCCTGAATTCAAGAGAAAATTGGAACATAAATCTTTATTCCCTTTTTCCAGTAACAGTGAACTTCTTTTGACTTTAGCATCTGGATTCCTTTTCGTTGCAATTTCGATGAACTTATTCTGGGTCTGAGTTGTATGTAAATAGCTCTAACTAGGCAGGCTCCAGCTAGATATCTTCGTATTTATTTATTGTGCCTCCGTTTGTAACTCATTTATGACTGCCACTGCGTTGGATCTGAAACTGCTGTCTAACAAGAAAGAATAATTATGCAAATGAAAAAATAGTTCTTTCAGCACTTGAGAAAACAGCCACACATATAATTGTTTAAAGTAAGCACAAAGGATCAGCTAATTCTAGAATAGTTTAGCATCTGCTAACAAATTTAGGCTGGGAAAGCTGTATTTATTGTAGATCTGTAAATACTCTGGAACTTGGCAGATGGTACTTTTATGGCACAGAACACGGAGAGGAAGAAAGTTGGAGAGGAAGAAAGGGAATGAGACTAATTTCGATGGGCGAAACCATTGTTTTACAACTTGTAACGAAGATGTTACAACATTCGGTGATTTCTCTCGTTTAATTCTTTGAGTGCCTATTACTTTTACAAATCTGACTCAAATTGGTAGCATATGAATGACGATCTGCTCAGGATATGGGCAATTCAGTGACTGCCATGCTAGATTTTAATAACAGGATATAACAGAGTTGGAAAGAACATTGGAGGCCTTCTCGTCCAACCCCCTGCTCAAGCAGGAGATACTATACCCGTGATGGTGAACCTATGGCATATGTGCCACGCGTGGCATGCCAGAACCATATCTGTGGGCATGCAAGCATTGACCTAGCTCAACTCCAGTGTGCATTCACTCACCAGCCAGCTGATTTTTGGGCCTTCCGGGCCCACTGGAAGTCAGGAAACAGGTTGTTTCCGGCCTCCAGAGGGCCTCTGGGAGGGGGTGGAGAAGGCTATTTTCGCCCTCCCCAGGCTCCTAGAAAGCATCTGGAATTTGGGGAGGGCGAAAAATGGGTCTTCCAATCCCACAGGAAATGGGCCGTTTCTGGCCTCCAGAGAGCCTCTGGGAGGGGGTGGAGAAGGCCGTTTTGGCCCTCTCCAGGCTCCTAGAACGCATCTTGACCTTGGGGAGGGCAAAAAAAATGGGCCTTCCAGTCCCACAGGAAATGGGCTGTTTCCGGCCTCCGGAGGGCCTCCGGGGGGGGGGAGGCTGTTTTCACATCCCCAGGCCCCTAGAAAGCCTCTGGAGCCTGGGGAGGGCAAAAAAACGGGTCTACCAGGCCCACCATGCCATCACGTGTGAAAAGTGAGGGGAGCACAGGGAGGGGGGGTTGCATGCGCATGCACAGGAGGGCAGGGTGCAGGGCGGGCATTGAATTATGAAAAAAGCCCCGCTTTTGGCACACAACGGCAAAAAGGTTAGCCATCACTGTACTATACCATTTCAAGCAAATGGCTGTCCAATCTCTTTGTTAAAAAAATCTCCAGTGATGATACACCCACAACCTCTGAAGGCAAGTCGTTCCTCTGGTTTATTGTTCTTACTGCCAGATAAATTTCTCCTTAGTTTTAGGTGCTTCTTACCTTGGTTAGTTTCTTGGTTGAGGTTGGATTGGAGGATCGCCCATTAAGGAGCAATACGCTTCCATCCTAGGAAGGAACAAAACCTGAGAGAAATGTGACTGTGCAATGTGTCAGTTTGAAATGGAGGAAATGTGACAACATCAGGGGTGGGTTCTAATTTTTTTTACTACCGGTTCTGTGGGCGTGGCTTATTTTGTGGGTGTGGCTTGGAGGTCATGTGACTAGGTGGGCATGGCTAGCTGGTCAGAGCCATTTCTGGAAGGTCCTCGTACTTACGACCAGTCCTCGCACTTACGACCCGACTCATTTGTTTGCTTTTAACACTGATCAGCTGTAGGACGGCCCTTTGAAGCCCCACAGCAAGAGTTTAAACAGTTTTTTCCCCTCTAGTCATCAGCTGGGACTCAGGAGGCAGCAATAGATTGGGGGTGGGACCAAATAAAAGGTAAGAATAACGTGGGGGGGGTGGGGAGGTGGGAGGGCGGGGGGGGAGAACCGGTTCGGTGACGTCATATCATCACTGCTACCAGCTCGGCCGAACCGGACCGAACCGGGAGGAACCCACCACTGGACAACATGTACTTGGGAATTAGATAGGATGTTACAAGGTAGGCAAAAAATAGCAGAAACTGCAAGTAGAGATGAAGGACATGTAGAGCTTAAACAAGATATAATTCTATAGGGGCAAAATGACATATATACTTGGGCAAGGTGCAATACCATAGACCAGTGTTGGTGAACCTTTTCAGCACCAAGTGCCGAAATGGGAGCATGTACATGCGAAGGAGTGGCAGAAACTGGAAGAGCAGTTCCCCATCAAGCATGTGCATGCCAGTCACCTGGTCTTCCGGTTTCTGGCACACATGCACACACAAAGACCAGCTGGTCGGCATGCATGCGTGTGGCAGAAACCAGAAGCTCAGCTTCCCAGCATGTGCATGTGCGCCAGGGAGCTGCTCTTCTGATTTCCAGGGCTTCCACGCGTGCAAAGACCAGCTGGCCAGCACTCATGTGCACACTGGAACGTGAATTTGGATAGTGGTTGTGGCAATACCTGAAGACAGCAATATAGAACATAAAGAACTTATAAAAAAACCCACAAAATACAAAGTCCTGCAAATAGAAGTAAAATGATTGTGGCAAAAGAAAGCAAAGATGATATCAATATTGATAGATATTGGGTGCAATTCCAAAATATCCAGAGTATCATTGAACACCGTCAATCAATTGCAAAAGGCAGCTTTACTTGCAACAGCTTACATCCTGGAACGATACCATATCATCAAGCAACAACATCTGCCTATCCCAGGTCCTTTGGAAGGACTTGATAGATGGATAAAAATGCCAAATCCAATTTAAACACCCGACTGATTATGAAACAAACCATAATAATAAAAAGAGTACACTACCCCAGTCCCAGTCTATATCTTTAATCACTATCCAGTAACAGAAATTGAAATAAGCTTTACAGAACGAATGCATGCTGAATACAGTAGAACATCTTACAATAATACGGAAGAAAGATATTTAATGGAAAGTCACGGACAGAGAAAACAGATATAATTCAATCATAAGATTATAATATAATATCTAGAGCTGTGGTGGCACAGTGGTTAGAATGCAATATTGAAGGATAATTCTGCCGACTGTCAGCAGTTCGATTCTCACCAGCTCAAGGTTGATTCAACCTTCCATCCTTCCGAGGGCAGGAAAATGAGGATCCAGATTGTTAGGGGCAATATGCTGACTTTGTAAACTGCTTAGAGAGGGATGTAAAGCACTATGAAGTGGTATATACATCCAAGTGCTAGTGCTACAAGAGATATTTTTTTATCCATGCAATATTATTATTAGGGAACATGCACCTCCATGTCCCAACTATGCAGTCAAAAGTAAAGCAAATATGATTTATCCCCGCTACCTCTAAACCAGTGGTGAAATGTAAAATTTGTTACTACCAGTTCCGTGGGCGTGGCTTGGTGGGGGGGGGATAATGTGACTGGGTGGGCATGGCCACCTTTTTTTTTTTAAACTTTTAAAACCATATTTTTCTGCAACCTCTTCGGCTGAAGAGGTTGTAAAAAAATGCTTTTAAAAGCCTCTGACAATCCCAGCTGAGTTGCCTGATGGTCAGAGGCTTTTTTTCTTTTAAAAACATTTTTTCTACAACCTCTTCAGCCGAAGAGGTTGTAAAAAAAAATGCTTTTAAAAGCCTCTGACGATCCCAGCTGAACCGCGCGATCATCAGAGGCTTTTTTTTTTTTAACTTTTAAAAGCATTTTTTTTGGCCGAAGAGGTTGTGGAAAAAATGCTTTTAAAAGTAAAAAAAAAAAAAAAAAGCCTCTGATGATTGCGCGGCTCAACTGGGCATGGGGGGGGCCAGGAATTTTTGCTACCGGTTCTCCAAACCACCTGCCGCCATCGCTACCAGATCAGGCGATCCGGTCCGAACTGGGAACATTTCACCCCTGTTCTAAACACATTCCTCTACCATCATTTCTTTTCCCTTGCTTCCATGTTTAATTTGTGCTCAATCTGCTTAGGTGCAGGTACATCCTTTGCGGCACGTATACTGTAAAATATGCTTCATAATAAGTACAAGTTGATATATGTTTTAATATTGCAATCTGAATATTGTCTATATCCCCAATACATATTGAGGAATTACCGGTGCTACTTGCAAGCTCTAAAGTAGTCTAAAGAAAGCTCGCTTATAATTATTCAAAAGTTCATTAAAGTGTTCCTCAAACAACACATATGAAAAAAAAAAACACTTATTCTCAGCATTTAGGAAACTTTTAATTGGTGTAAACGCTGATAGAGCACCCAACTTTTTTTTTTTTAAGAAAAAGAATACACCAATAATGAAAACATTCATTATTTAACTGTAACATTTATTGTTACCTCTTTTTTTTTCCCCTTTGTTTGTGGCACTTCTGAATCCTTGCATATAGATGCTATTGTTCAAAGTTAGAATCCTATGGCCTGAGTCTGCTAATTAATGTTCTGTGACATTCAGTGCTATTTTGATAAAATGCTAGCTTTCCAAATGCTTAAAGGAGAAAGGAGCAAACTTCTGTTGACATTTCTCTATATTCTGTTCTTCTTCTTCTTTGCTTCCTGCATGAATTGTCACCTATACATATGGAGCTAAAACATACGAAGAATGGTTGCAAGAATTGGATATATCTAGTTTAATGAAAAGAAGGACCTGGGGAGGGGGGCATGATTAGCAGTGTTCCTATATCTCAGGGGCTGCCACAAAGAAGAGAGGGTCACTTTATTCTCCAAAGCACTGAAGACAGGACAAGATGCAATGGATGGAAACTTATCAAGGAGAGAAGCAACCTAGAACTAAGGAGAAATTTCCTGACAGTGAGAACAATAAACCAGTGGAACAACTTGTCTCCAGTAGTTGTGAATGCTCCAACACTGGAAGTTTTCAAGAAGAGATTAGATAATCATATGTCCAGAATGGTATATAGGGCTGTGATGGTGAACTTATGGCACATGTGGGCATAGGTTCTCTGTGGGCATGCCAGCCGTTGCCCCAGCCCAGCTCCACCGCGCATGCACACTTGCCTCCCACCGGCCAGCTGGTCTTCGCGTCTCTGGGTGTGTGTGTGCTCGCATTGCATTTTGGGGGTTCATGCGTGCACCCACCTACACCCTGTTTTGGGCCTGGAAAGCCTCCTGCATCAACCTGGAAGCCAAAACAGGAGGCGGGGGTGGGGCACATATGCAGGGGGTGCTCACATTGTATTTTGGGGGTTCACGCGTGCTTTGGCCACTCGGCACCAAAAAGGTTAACCATCACTGGTATAAGGTTTCCTGCCTGAGCAGGGGATTGCACTAGGAGACTTCCAAGATCCCTTCCAACTCTATTATTCTGTTAGTTGTCGGGGTCACATGTTACCGGTGACATCATATATCACAGAAGGATTTATTCTGGCTGGGTGGGAGGAGATCTTCCACTAGTGGAAGAGAGATTTGCTGGTTCTCATAGAACATGAGTTGTCCAATTAAGTTGGTTCTTTTTCGGTTATGCTTTTGTTTTGTTTTTTGTTTTTTTCCAATACATATTTTTTCAGACTTTTCAAAGCATCTTCCAAGACTTCCCATGAAGCCCCTGATAGCTTGTTATTAAAAATGGGAGAGATTAAAAATGTAACCTCTCTTTTGAGAACCCCAAATTTTAAATAAGCTCTGAGATTCCCTGGATATCATTGCAAAACCCTTTTCTGTGACTCATCTGTAGCCACAGCCCTCCAAACGTAGTTTCTTCTCTAAGATAATTCTTATGTTTTATTTATATATCCAGCAGTGTTATTCTCTTCACCTTCTGCAATAGTTTGCTGTACCACATATTCTTTAACCCAAATGGGAGAAAAGTGGTGTGAGATAAGTACAGAGTCTCGTCCAATCGACACTAGAAATGGTCACATCATTCCAAGGCAGAATATAACTTGGCTTCAATCTTTAATTTTACCTTTTTACCATTAATATCTGTATTTGTATCTGATGCCTTGGATCTAGATAACACACACACAATCATTTTAAAAATCTTCTGTATTGAATAAAATGGGGCTTCCACTGATACAAGAGTTGTAGTGGTGCACAGAGGTGGAATTCAGCTGGTTCGTACAGGTTCGGGCAAACCGGTAGTGCCGACGATCAGTTGGCCCCGCCCACCCATCCCCAGTCTATCCTGTCCTTTATTTCCTGCTTTTTAGCTCATCTTAATCGTGCAGCACATATGATTCCCCCCCCTTGTTGTTCTACTTACCATTGCTGACTTGGAAGGTAAGCAACTGAGCTTCTAAATGCTCCATTTCCAGTGCTGCACACAAGCGCCTTAGGTGCGTGCACACCCACTCATCGAACCGCTTGTTAAACCGGCAGCATTCCACCACTGGTGTCGCAGTGGTTAGAATATATTATTGCAGGCTGATTCTGCTCATTGACAGGATTTCGATCTTAACCGACTCAAGGTTAATCCAGACTTCCACCTTTCTGAGGTAATGAAATGATGACCAATGGGGCCAATATGCTGACATTTGTAAACTACTTAGAATGGTCCGTAAAGCTTTATGAAGCAATATATAAGTCTAAGTGCTATTGTTATTGCTATACAAGAAGAATAT